TGGCTGGTGGGTTTGAACCACCAGCCTTCTGGTTAGCAGTCAAGTGCCTTAGGCACTGTGCTACCAGAGCTCCTTATATTCTTGTATTGTCTTTTGAAATTGTTCTAGGGTTTTCTCCTCAATTTTGTTAGTGTTTTCCTTGATCTGTCTCTCAGTTCATTGAAAGTACCTAAATATAATTCTTTTGAATTCCTTATCATGGAGTTCTAATGCTGTGTCTTACTCAGGGATGTGTTTTGGGCCTGCATCCTGGTCCCTTGTTTTTCCTGGTTTATCTCATTTCTTTGTGTGGACTGTGATGCTCTGTTGTCTCTGAGGCATTGTGACATTTTTGTGTTTATATTTAATTGGTGATTATATGTTGGAGTGACTTTCCTATGATTTTCATTTTCTTTGTTTTGTTTGTATGTTATCTGTGTAAGCAGGGTACTGTGCTGTGCTCCTCTATTCACTAGTTGGCAGCACTTATACACTCACCACCTGTCTCCTTTCCCATTGTCTGCCTCCCATATGTCCCTGCCATCCTTAGCAAATGGAGCCTGTTCTCAGGTCCCTGGAATCCAAATGAGAATGCTGTCACTTTAAACTCCAAAATGGCCACCACATGTAAACAATCAAAATGGCTGCACCCTAGGGACAGCTAAAAGTCCACACCTCAGGTTGTCTTCCTCCTTGCTGTTTCCCTTCCTAGTCATAGGCCACCAGCGCAGTTGTCCCTGTAACCATTGGCAACCAGAGCTGATCTTTAGGTCAATTCTCAGGTCCTAACACCACTTGGAAATATTCGGGCTGTCAGTCCTGTCAGAGTAGCTGACAGTTCACTGCTCCGACCATCTTCGTACTGTTTTCATTCAGGTTTTTCCCACTAGTTGGTGCCCAACCCATTTCTGTATACTTCCTTTCAAAGCTCAGGGCTCCAGGATTATCTTCCATATCTCTGTCAATTTGTTGAAGAGGGTCTGTGGAGCTTGTCTGCCTATTCCACCATTTCACCGGAAGTCCAACCCTAAACATTTTATAATATTGCATTTTCTAGATGAAGTACTAGGAGCCCAAAGAGATCAGGTAAATTCTCTGGCAGGTGGCTGAATCAGGTTTCAAACTTAAATCTGAGTCTCACTACTTATTAGATTGACATTCTGGCAATAGAAGAAGCAAGAAGGGACAGGAAGAAATGGCAAGAAGTTGAGGCTGAAATTGGGAGTATGTAAAGAACAAGGAGGTTTCTGTTCAAGTCAAATGGTAAGTCCCTCATTGCTTTGAGCACTTTATGCAGAAACTGAATGACCAGTGGTCACTTCCTAGGGTATTATAAAAAGGCTCTTGGTGACCTCCAAAGGCCCTCCAGCTCATGGCTTTTACAGGTCAAGCCTGCCTCCTGCCCACATAATGTTCTCTTCTACACCTAGTTATGTGTAGCACTTATTATTAGATCAGGGATGGCAAACTTTTCCCATAAAGAGGCAGATAGTAGTGGGATTTTAAAAGCTAGCAAGCTGCCACCTAGATGCAACGATGGGTCTCTCCTCTTCCAGAGCAAAGAAGAATGAAGAAAACCAAAATTCATGAAAACAGTTAGTCCTAGCGACTGGTACACCATCTGATCTGCAGCCTCTATGACTATGAGACCAGAAGAACTAGATGGTGCCCAGCTACCACTGTCATCCACTTGGAAGGGGATCTATGTAGGAGATCCTTGATAGAGAGG